CTGCGGTGAAGTAGTAACCTCCCTCGGCCTTCAGCCTCTTCAGGTGGGCGGCCGCCGTCTCATCTGGGCGTCTCGGCCACTTGACGAGGCGGTCTTCCCAGGGGCGGTCGTGATCAGGGCGGCGGCGTTCATCCGTGTGTCCAGGGTTGCGGCGATCGTCTTGTCGATGCCAGGGGCCCCACCATCCGCTCCTGTCGCGATCGCGGTCCCGGTCGGGGCCGCGCTCTCTTGCTCGGCCCCGGTCACTGGTATCTCTGGATGGGCGCCGCGCCGTGCTGTCGCATCGGCTACAGGGACCCGGGTCACTCACCCTGCCGCGCGCGCGACCGTACTCGCGCGTAAGGTGGGGGTCGGGCGCGGTGCGCCCGGCTCCTGCGGCCGCAGTCCGGAGCCGTGCGTGCAGGGCGCGGTCGTCGGCGGCGGCCATCGCGAGCTCGCTCTGCCCCGCGGGTTCGTGGGCCTGGCGGGCCTGGTGCGTCGCGTCGGTGTCGCGTTCAGGTCTGCTGCGTCGCACCTCCCGGGGGCTCGCCCCGATGTGGACCTGCCGATGTGCTCCAGGGTCTGGGGAAGGTGAGACCGGATGGACTGTGCCTGCGGCCTCCGCCAGCCTCTGAGCCTGTTCCTCATCCTGGCCCTCGTTGGTGCAGTCGGGGATATCCTCCTTGGTGCGCCCGCGCGGCGGCGGCTCGTGCGTGGGGCCCCGTGCGACCGTCCGTGGCGCGCGGGACTGGGGCCTGGATTTGGGCTGAGCCCCTTCTGCAGACGCCGCTGTGGCGTTTCCAGGGTCGGCGCCGAGCCAGGAGCTGGCAGGGGCCGCAGGCTCCTGCGGTGCTTGTGCCTTGTCGGGGGGGCCCATCCAGGAAGGCGACCGCACGGTTCGCCGCATTGCCGCGCAGGACGTCGGCGCGTAGCGTCTTGGTCCCGGCACCCCAAACTTCAAGCCACTCGTTGCAGATTTGGACGATCAGGAATCGCTGTCCGTCCTTCTCGCGGATCTGGACGTCGCGGATTGGTCCGAATACTGCTCCGTCCAGGGGCTGCGTGAACAGGGGCACGGTGCTTTGCGCTACTCTAAACCACCTGGCTCGGGGGAGGGTGTCGTTCCGGATGACCACGTAGTCGCCGCTCTCGATGTCCGGGCTGTCCGTCGAAATCGGGCGGGCGGGGGCCTGGAAGGTTTGTCTGCGACTCGTCCTCGCCGCCAGTCGCGGTCGCGATCCGCGCGCTCCAGGAGAGGATCAGGGAGTGCGTCGGCAGCGGTGGGGCCCCCGCAGACTTGGTAGCCGTGGGTCGCGTAGCGGGATCGAGGCCGGCTCGCTGTCGCGCGGCACGGGAGGTAATTGATCGGCGGGCGTCAGGTGCTGGTCCTTGATGGGCCTTGGGCTGCATGCGGGCTCAGGGGTGCGGCTGTTGCGCCCGTCTGTCCGAGGGACGTCGTCCTGCTGGGGCCCGCTGCTGGCCGCAGGCGTCTGCATGTTTGGTATCGTCGCTGCCTGTGCCTCCGGCATCCTGGCCCCTCATCTGTGCCACAACCTTTACGTGCGTCTCCCTGGCCGTCATTCTTCGCGCCCAGGCGCGACGCTGTTGCTCGTCTTCCGGCGGAGGCGGCGGCGCGCCGCGAAGGCGCTCTTGGCGGGCGCGCGCCTCCTCATCCCATACGGCACCCCGCCGTTGCACTTCCTGCTGGCTGGGGCGCAATGCGACCCCTGTGGGGGCGGCGGGGATGCCCGGTAGCGCGGCGAGGGGTTTGGCTCCGTGGCCAGGGTATACCGCAGGGCCGCACTTTTCGAGCACGCGCCGCACTGCGGGCGGGGCCATGTCACATTGGTGGATCAGGCAGTCCTCGCAGCACCAGCCCGCGTGCCAGCGCTTGGAGAGGAACATCTCCTTCATGAGCTGGACTGGCGAAGCCCGCGGATCAGTGTTAGGCCAGCGCGGAGGCCTTCAGGGCCAGCGGCGTGGCCGTACATGCCAGAGATGGGCTATCCAGGCTGCCACCTGTGCCATTATGTGCCGGGTGGGCAGCCGTCGTACCGCCAAATGCCGACGTTGCTCGTGTGGAACTGGGAAATCAGGCGGTCGTCGTTCGCGCTGCTGGCTGGTAGCGTGGCACCCACGCTGAGCGGGTTCATCTCGCCGTCCAGCGGGACCAGGAGCTGCTCGGGGGGTGTGAATGCCGTGGGCGCCAGCGTTGGGCAACGCCCTGGCAGGGCACGCGAGGTGCGCGCAGGCATGTCATCGGGGCGCTCGTTGATCCAATCCTTGAACTCCACGTCCTCCGGGATGGGCCGGCGTCCTTGCATAGCCTTCGTGGTCCAGCAGCAAATGCACAGCCAGGTGAGGTCCATCCCTTGGGAGTACTCCGTCTGCCTGTTGACCGTGATGATCTGGCGGATCCGCTTGCTGACGTACGCTCCTTTGTCGTGCTTGAACGGGCCACGGAGGCACCCCTGGCAGTAGAAGTCGGCCTTGCTCTGCTCCTTCACCCACCGGGTGTCACGCTCGTCTATCCAGGGAGGCCGTAGCGCCACGCCGGGGCGGGGCCCGAATGGGGCGGGCGCGTCCAGGTGTAGGTGCGTGAAGGCATACCCCCCGCCTATCCAGGCGACCTTGCCTGCCTGCTTTGCAGGGTCCGCGGTGAGGCCCATGCTGGATCCGAGCACGTCGACGTAGAGTTTGCATGCCGCGCACTCGCGGTCCGCCAGGGCCGATAGGTCGGCGGCAGGGACAGTACCTTCGATGACGGCGAGGGTGGCCTGGAGCGGGAACTTCGCGGCCTCGAGGTCCTTCCAGGTGGGGGGGCATCCCGCCTAGATGGCAAGGGGGCGGCGGTGGGCGACCAGGACCAAGCGGGACACCGCAGAGATCAGAGGCTCCAGCGCCGAATGTAGCCCCCCGAAGTGCTCGGCCTGAAGCCCGAAAAATGCTCCCAGATGGTCCCGCGCAACCCTGTCGCGCGGCCGGTACGGCTCGCACAAGCCTAGGATGGCCTCGATCACGTCGCCGATGCCCTCGGCGTCTCCGCACGTGCACAGGCAGGCACGCGGTTCGCGCTGCAAGAGCAATGACAGGGCGAGCAGGACTCTGGCTTGGATGGCTCCCAGAGTCGCGCCGGTGCTTTCCAGGAGACGGTGCAGGACTGCGGTCTGGCGTCCGCCTGAGCCCATGTCGCAGAAGGCCTGAAACACCGCTGGCGTGGGTGGTTCCTTGTGCTTCTGGCATTCGCAGGTTGTTAGTTGCCAGCATTTGGGGCGGCGCCTGGCGGCGGTGGTGGGGACGCAGGCCTCCTTGACAGGCCACGCTGCCGACATGTTCGGTCGCTTCCTTCTTGGCGGAATCAGGGTGGAGTCAACGGCCTGGGCGCTGTCGTCGCGGGCGACTCCGAGTCCGATGGCCCACGTGATGGTCAAGAAAACTGCCGTGTAGACCAAGTTACCAGCGTCCAGTCCCAGCAGCATGGAGCAGAACAAGAAGTACCCGTTCATGATCCATCCTTTCCTGTCCTGCACGCTGGGATCCGCGGGCTGGTCCGCCACGCCGAACTGGTGCGGGCGCAGCCCGAGGCACCAAAGAATGCAGGGTCCGAACGCCGCGCGGTGCAGGAGTCGCACGACCGCCGCGTTGACGTCCTCCTCCAGGACCGTCCAGCTGTGGTCTGCAGGGAGCGGCAGGTCGGCGAGGGCCGAGAAGCCCGCCTGTTGCGCTTGACGGGCCTTGATCACCTCCCTCTCCTTCTGCTTGCGGTCAGCGTCCGCCTGCAGCCGGGCCTTCTCCTCTGGGTTGGCGGCGTCAAGGATGTCGTCCTGGAAGACGTGTGGGTCCGCGAGGGTCTGGCGCAGAGATCCGTCCGAGTTGTGGTGGAACTCGAAAGTAAGGCTCGCCTTCTGGGCCCAGGTGCTTAGGTGAAGGAGGGCAGCGTCGGTGGCTGTGCGGAAACTCTTCGCGTCTGCGGTCATGATGAAGTTTCACTGTGGGCGTGTCAGGCCCACGTTGATGCGGTGCCGGTCGTCTACGTGGCCAAAATTGTGCATTGACTTGGCCCGGGTGGTCAGCAGTATGACAACAGATGCCTCTTGACCCTGGGCGGAGTCGATGGCGGTGACGCGCAGGGTCTCGTTTTCCAGGAGTTGCGGGAACAGGTCCATGAGCCCGTCGAAGCGCTCGTTCAGGCCGTTGGCTGTCGTGGCGCGGTTGATCCAGCTCCCTTTTGCGAAGGACCTCTTGTCGGCGGGCAAGGAACGAGAGCTTCCCCAGCTCTGAGAGCGCTGCGAACTGGTCGCGCCCACGCCCGCCTCAGGTCCGTCGGCATGGGCCGCCCGTGAGCAACGCCTGATGTCTTGGGGAGAGCAAGGGTTACCTGCCAGCACGGGGGTAAGCTGCAGCTTGCATGGCGACAGCACCAGGATGGCGCCGCGAGTGCGTGTCGCCCAGGGCACAAGGGCCTTCCCCAGAGCAACCACCACTGCGCGTGCTTCGCGCATGTTGGCGTAGCCGTCCTGGTGCACGGACTGGACCTCATGTGAGGGGACGTGAGCTAATAGGAACTGGTGCTGGTCGAAGACTGTGCTTCCGTCTCCTGTGTTCGGGACAGGCGGGCAGGCCGCCTTGCTCCTGAACCCGCCTGCGGAGTCGATAAGGGAGTTGGCGGGGCCGCATCTTTTTTCCTCGCTCTTTGCTGCTTCGCACTCCTCCTTGGACAGTGGCACTGCGCGTGGCCACTGAGGTCCCTCGGCGCAGGGGCGCTGCCGCATGGGGCCCAGGATGGCCGAGACCAGCCTGCCCCAATAGAACGCGAACGAGGGCCAGGCCAGCAGGGAAGGGTGGATGCGGTAGCACTCTTCCAGGGTGACGCTGCAGTTAGGGATCTCCCCTATAGCTGACACGCACTTGGCGAGGATGGTGATGCCGAGGCCCCAGCGCAGCGCCTGCTGGGACTTGACCGTTGGGCACAGCTGCCGTTCGTCGCCGAAGAGGACTACTCTGGCCCCGCATCGGACGGCGTGGATCAGGGACACGATAGCCATGGGCTCGGTCGTCTGGCCCGCTTCGCCCAGGAGGCAGAGGAGGAACTTCTTGTCCCAGAGGTCGGCGCCCGCCTCGTGCGGGGCCAGGGTGAGCTTCGCCTCGGCGCACTTAGCGACGGGGGTGATCTCCCTGGCGGCGTTGCCCTTCACCTTGCCCTCGCGCACGAGGCGCGCGGCCAAGCGCGGGAACAGGTCGCTACAGTCCGGAGTCAAGTTCTTCCCGATCTGCTCAGCCAGGGCGCCCATGGAGCCGACGCTGCCGCCGAAGCACCCCACGCCCCATTCTGGGGCGAGGCGCGACATGCAGGCGTCCGCTATGCAGGCCGCGACCTTGGTCTCACCTGTGCCGGGCGGCCCGCGGCACGGGGTGAGGAGTGAGTTCTGGGTCGCAAGCACGCAGCGACGCTGAGCGTCTTTGGTTCGGTACTGGTCGCAGGCGCGCTGAAGGTGATCCTCCCGCGGGACAGGCAGCAGTCGCTGAAAGACGGAGCCGGGGACTCGTCAGCCTGCTGGAGTGTCAGGGGCGGTTCGACCACTCGTCTGCTGGCGCCGGGTTGGTCGGGGTCGTCGATCACGCGTTCCAGCGTGGCCGAGGCCTGCGCAAGCAGTCGATCCGCTGCCACACCTTGCGCGGGCACTGACAAGGCGCTGGCCTTTCTGTCGCGACCCTCGCGTCGGAAGACGAGCGCCCAGACTATGGGCGGGAGGGCGGTGCCCCACAGGGCGGCCCTCTCGCACCCGGCCGAGAAAAATTCCCGGATCGCGGCGTTGACCTTCTTGAATTGGGCCATCCTCGTGGCGCGGTCGACCCTGTAGTAAGGTTGGCCAGGGGGTGGTCTTCTGACGGTGGCGTCGCTGTCGTGGAAGGGCCCGCGCTTCTTGGCGTCGTAGCGGACCAAGGCCATTCCAAAGGGGCAGCTGCGGTCAGTGCCCGAGACTCTGGCGCCAGGGGCTGGGGGCCAGACAGGGGTCATCACAGCCAAGAAGTCCACCGTCGGTAAGGTCTTAGAGACCATGATGGGATTAGGGGTGCCCGATGTCATGCCGCGCTCCGTCCATTCCATGGCCCACATCTTGTCCCAGGAGCAGGTAGTATTCGCTGTGTCCCTGTCGCTGGCCTCTGAGTCGATCCTGTAGTTGATATGTATCCAGGAGATCTTTGCAATGCTCTCCAGGGGCGAAGCAGGGGAAGCCCTGCGCGTCCAGAGCGCAGGTGGTATTGCTGGCGATGATCTGGCGGGTTTTTGCGGTGCCGTCGTCGGGGGGCTCTACGTCCGCATAGAACTCGGTGAAGAAGACACTCTTGAGCTCCTTGCCGTATGTCTGCAGCCGCCGTATCCAGTCTGACTGCGGCGGGACTGCTCCAGGGACGGGCCCGAGGCAGGGGCGCGACGCAGCGCTGCTTTTGACCACGTACCAGGGGGCGCTGTAGATGCTCTCGACGTTCTTGGCGAGCTGCGTGTGCCACTCTTCGATGACGGGCGCCCCTGGCGACGGCGGAGCAGGCGCTCCGGCCTTGAATGGGGCCCCTGGATGGATCCGGGCGGCCCCCGGAGCCGCCAGGGCCGGCAGAGGAGGACGCAGCAGGAGGGGGCCCGGGGAAAGCTGCTTGCGCCGCGGGCGGAGGCCTGGGGGGGGGGCGGCGGCACGCCGGCAGACGGTCCCGGAGAGGAGCTGGACGCACCCCTCATGGCCAGAGAACCGGCCAGTGCTTGCCCTGCGTCGCGGAGCTCCTGCTCCTTTGTCTGCTCTTTGGGGCTGGCGGCCTTGGTCCAGGGAAGTCGCGCGTTGTCGTCGTTGATTACCAGCCCCAGTGGGGGAGAGTATTCTGGCCCGTCATAGCACCCAGGAAAACCGATCGAAATCCAGTCCCAGTCAGGCTTGTAGACACAGGGATCGATAGGGGACTTCACGCCATCGAGGTCCCAGTCCCAGCACAAGCCTGGGCACTGCACCCTCGGGATGTCCGGCGTGGCTTTGCCCTCGGTCATGCTCCAAAGGTCGCCTCCCATCATGAACCGCTGGGAATCAGGGAGTCCGTGGGGAGTCTCTCCTTCCATATACCTTGCGAGCTGGGTCTGCCTGCGCTGCTTCATGTGCTTGGTGGACGTGAAGTGCTGCTGGTCGTTGACCGCCTTGCCGCATTCGTCGCAGAGCCAGCCCCAGCGTCCGCCGCCGTTGTTGTCGTCCACATAGGTCCAGCGGATGCCGGGGGCCTCGCAGCACTTGAAGATGATGCGCCCAAGTGCGTTCTTGAGTGGTTGTCGATGGCAGGGGGCCGCGCGCGGCCACCGCGCCACGATCTTGGCCTTGGCCACCATGGGGAGTCAGGGGGGCAAAAGAAGCCCAACGTTCAGGTAGTAGCGAATACAGGGGGCAACGTCCCGACCTTAGCAGGGTCGGGGCGGGCAGAGAAGACAAAGAAAGGGAATGAGGCCCCACCTCTATTCCTGCTATCCCTGTTTGCGCGTGACACGAGCGCGTCAACGGCTGCGGGGATGTCTGAGACAGGGAGCCCGGCTAAGCTAGGGTCGGGGAAGGCGTATGGCACGTCGTAGGTGGGTGCGGCGTGCCACAATCCAGGTGGATACAGCGGCGTGCCCCGCCTGTCTGAGGCCATCGGCCCAAAAGACCCCTAGGGCGGCGAGCGCGTCCGCAGCCTTGTTCAGCCGTCTTCTGACGGCCTACCAAGTGAGCCGCCATCCATTGGCGGCCAAAGGACGGAGACCTTGATCCATCTGTGCACACAGGTGTAGTCTCCGAAATCGACCGGTGCCGGCCCCGCATCGGACGGCGGCGAGGTTGTCGCCCACGATTCTGGCGGCGTGTGCGCCGTCGGTGGACGCGTCTAGGGCGTCCACGAGGCCCAGGACGGCCCGGCAGCCGGTGGTCTCACCGACTCGAGCGCTGTCCGAGTCGAGAAAGGCGACCACGCAGGAGGCGATCCTTGCGGGTGGCCCGCTGGAGGCCGGGTGGCGCCATAGCGTGGCACCAGCACCAGCCACCTTCGCCCTGCCCGCGATGGAGCGGGCCCCGCCGTCGAAGGTGGCCTCGTACGGCCACTGGGCGCGGTCCTGAACCGGGATGGGCGAGTCGCTGAGAGTGACCTCCTGTCCGTGCGTCAAGGGCTGGGTGGCGACGAGGATAAGGCAGTGCCTTGCGCACGTCCTGAAGAAGGTGCCTGCCCAGTGGGCAGCGGGGCTGTCTTCGGTGACGCGTGGCCACGGGAGCCATCCAGGCCTGGCCGGCAGCCACCCTGCGGCCGCGTGGGTGGACCGGAGGTGCAGGAGGTGCTGGCCGGGCAAGACTGCGCCCGTGGCAGCTGCCAGTCTCCTACAATCGCCGCCTGCCTGGCCGGCCAGCCGCGCGCCGTGTAGGGCGGTGGAGCCACGCAGGGGGCAGGGTGGCAGGCCGCGTGGCATACATGTGGGGCAGGCGTTGTAAGGGCGCGTCCAGACGCTGTCCGCGTCAGCGCCTGGCACGGAGATGTCCGCGTCGCCGCCCATGGGAGCCTCGCGCGAGCGGTCGACCACCATGCCGGAGCGGACGAGCTGCGCAGCAGTGTCTGCGTCCAAAGGGGGTCTGCCAAGCGCGACGTGGCACCTGTAGGAGACCTGGTGCAGGAAGACAGCTAGGGTCCGCGCTATGGTCGCCAGGGGAAAGGATGGCGTCGGGAAGGAGGTTTGGAGCGCCTTCGGGGCGCACCAGTAGCCAGGCCAGCACCACAGCTGGGCACCAGGTCCACAAGTGCTCGCTGCCGGCTTCCCCCGTGCCACACAGGGGGTAGCCGCCGCATGGGCTAGGATCGGGACCGGGCCTCGCGCAGGACGGTCCACAGGCGTTGCGGGTGTTGGCTGCTAGGACGTGGAGGCGATCAGGTAGGGCGCGCTGTGGCAGCAGGGGCCACGTGGCCTGGGAGCCTGCCCAGTGGCCCAGGCAGCGATTACACCAGGAGACACCCCCGTATGGAGACGAGGCGGTGTGCCAGACGTGGTTGGCTTCGCATTGACAGGCGTTGCACTGGTGGGGGACCCGATCCTGGCGCTTCGCCATCTCGCGTGCCCTGGGAGACCATTGGCGAGGAACTTGAGAATGTGGTAGGCGGCGGTGAGGTCTGCGGCCTGCGCGAAGACATCCCATTCCCTGTGGTGCCGGGGCGCCCACCTGCGTCGGCGGCTGACCCCCGCGAACCAGTCGCTGGCCGTGGTACTGCATTGCTGCTCCCAGGCGGCTGCGTAGAGTGAGCGCCCTAGGGGGCGGCCCCCCCGTAGGTCCGGACGGGTAGCGTGCGTGGAGATGATGCTGGCGGCCTTGGGCAGTGCGAAAGTTTGGGCGCCCCTCCTGGGTCGGGCTGGCGGCGCGGCGTTGCCGCTTGCCCACCTAACGAGCTTGTTCCATCTGGTCAGGGAGCGTCGCTTGGCAGGTGTAGGCCCCCACACGTCATCCCGCGCGCGCGCCAATGCCGAGATGCTGCGGGCCAGGGCTACAGGGCACTTGGGGCAGCCCGCTATCTGATACAGGAAGCCAAGGCCCGTGACGATGTGGCCAGGTACCCAATGAGTGCCTGCGAGCCCGGCTGCGAGGCGCAACTGGGCCTTCATGAAACTCCCAAGGGCGGGGCATGGGGGGGCGTAGTGGGCGGGGTAGGGGATCAGGGAGGCCACGTACGCTTTCCATGCCGCCGCTCGCCGCCCAGGGGAGGCATGTGCGTCGAAGAGCGCAAGGGTCCTGGTGCGCATATTTCCCATGGCCTTCCCTTACGTGCCGGTGATCATGGCGTCCACTTGCGCTGACGTCGTAGTGCCTCGTGGGGGCGCTGCGCCTGCGACCGCACGCGAGACGACCGTGGCCCCCAAGTACGGCCACTGTAACCTGACACAGGATGACCCGAACGGGGAGTGCGTCATGATCCGCTTCCACCAGGCATGGTTGGCGACTGGGACGAGGGCAATCTTGAACGTGCACGTGCATCCCTGCTGCCAGGTCCAAGCGCCCTGAGCGCCATCAGGGCCGAGCTCGAAGGCGAGGAGCCGCCTCGTCAGTTCAGGGATTAGGCCTATCACCATTGGCGCTCCGCTGGAGTGCCGTTTGATGTGCACGGGGAGGGATGCGCACGCTCGGCGGACATTATCTAGCGCCGCTGGTAGCACAAGTCCTCGACAGGCGTGGACGCCGACGCAGAGCCCAGCCATGTGCGAGGCCCACGGGAGCAGGATGGCGGTGCGTAGGGCCTGCTCGGCCGTGGTTAGGAGCGCTGCTAGGTCGCCCACGCATGCGGGGCACCCGTCGCCAGTGGCGGCCGCGGTCGCCTCTATGATTGGGTCGTATGCCATGCACCATAGGAGGGGAGAGGCGGCGCCTCCCATGCCGATGGAGCGGAGTAGACGTCTCCTGGGTCCGGCGTAGGCGCCTGTGCACGTCCGAACGTCTCTGTACTCGACGAGGGCCAGGAGGGCGTGTCTAAGCCAGGCTGGTAGTCGCCAGCGCCGTAACAGCTCCTCTAACCATTGGAGAGACAGACTTTCGAACGCTTTGCTTTGGTCGGCGAATAGGGCCGCCGTCGCTGTGGACGGGGGGGCCCTGGCCACCGCTTTTCTGATGTAGGCGTCGACCAGCGGGCCGTGATCCCCCAGGAGATGGTGCCAGGCGGCGCCTGGGGGAGGGTTGAGGCTGGGTGTCCTGCCAAGGTGGTCAGTGGCCGCTGTAACGTTGGGTCCACACTGCCCTCCATCCTTGGCGGCCTGGTCCCGGGTGAGTTGTGGCTCGACCAGGGGCCCGAGCAGGTCTGCCAGGGACGCGCCGAATAAGCGCCGCATGCAGGTGGAGAGCTGAAGAGGGCGTAGCTCGCTGAGGCGCTCGGCGTCTGGGATCTTGAGCACCCACACCAGCAGGTCCACGGAGGGGCCAGGGACCTGCTCGAGGCGCGCCTGCGCCAAGAGGCAGGCTACGAACCTGGCGCCCGGGCGGTAGGCCTCGCACGGTTCTCCATCGACGCCCGGTGCGCTCCCTGCGGGATTCAGGACAAGGGCAGCCAATCGCCCCCATTGTAGCGTTGGGACGTCGGGTAGCTGGGTGGCGCGGCCGCCCGTGAAATAGGAGCCCAGGAGGCGCGCATAGGCTGGCGGCAGCGGCGGCACCGACTGCCAGATGCCTGCTATGCTGTTCCATAGAACCATTTCCATGCTAGGTGCGGTGTCGTGCCAGCAGTCGTCCGGACCTCCCACTCCTCGTAAGGAGTGCGATCTCTTGAAGATTTCTCGGCCTATTCGACTGTGCGGTGCTAGCTGGGCCCTTTCGACGCCCGCGCCGCGTTGCCATGGGGCGAGCTGGGCCGCCCGTCGCTGGGCCTGATCCGCACGCCATCTGGTTTCCCAGACGGCCGCCTGGTCGGGGGTCAGGTCGCCGCCACTCCATCCTGCACTCGTCAGCCATGCAGCCAGGGGGCCCGCCAGTCTGAACGTCGTGGTGCTAGTTGCGGCTCTTCGCAGCTGCACGCCCACCATGGGGACCTGACGGCGCCTGGCCCAATATTTCCACCTGGAAGTGCCCATGGTAGCGAGGGCGCCACGCCCGTGCTCGGCCAGAGCCTCAAGCAGGGGCAGGGCTCTGTCCGTGACTATCGGGACAGGATCGTCGCGGCTGCCGTCCTCGTGGTCAAGGTCGCGTCTGTCGTGGGCTGGGCGCTCGTCTGGGAGGCTGCCAAGGGGGGGCCAGCCGGGTCCAGCCGCTGGGTTGGACGAGGCCTGTCAGATCCACCTGTGGCACCTGGAACATCATTTCCAGGATGTTGTAGCGCCGCCGTAGGTCGCCATGCGCCTCCCCGGGGAATGCTTTGCATGCCCACGGTGCAAGGACGTCGCTTCTCCTGACCGCGGGAAGCGCGGACGGGTCGGCGTAAATCAGGGCGTGGTCGGATAAGGATGTTTCCCATGCCTTGGAGATGCGGTGCGACCCCGCCACTGTAGCCGGGCAGGCGAAGGTGTCGATTTGAGACTCGCCGTTGGCGCCGATGCGGGCGGGGCCGTCGGCGGGTGCAGGGTGGAAGGCGTCTGTTCAGCATGAAAACCCACGCAGCAACGTCCTCGATCTCGCCGTCTCGCGGGCCTTGCCATTCCATGTTGATGTCCCCCCCCAATACGCGTGGATGTCAGTCGGCTCAGCCATGGCGTCCGCCAGAGCGACCAGGACGTCTCTGAGCGTCGATCCGGTGGAAGGTAGACAAACACGACCCAGAGTGTATCATTATGCTTGCGTATTGCGGCTGAAATGGCGCATCCAGGGACCAGGACGGCGGAGTCGATAAGCTCGT